ATTCCTGGAAATTTCAGTGTATGTTAAAAGCAAGCAAGAGGGACACCTGGGTGGCTCAGTTGGTTAAGCGACTGCCTTCGGCTCAGGTCATGATCTCAGGGTCCTGGGATCGAGTACCGCATCAGGCTCCTTGCTCAGCAGGAAGCCTGCTTCTCCCTTTGCCTGCCGCTCCCCCTGCTTGTGCTTTCTCTCTTTCTCTCTCTCTGACAAATAAATAAAATCTTAAAAAAAAAATAAAAGCAAGCAAGATATATCTTGAATTCACATGTAAAATGAAGTTATATTCCTGGCACATATTGTTAGATGTCTGGTGGGGACACTGAGAAGCCACTCAGGCATAGAAAATTGGCCCTCACCCTGTTAGGGCGATGCCTTCATTCATAGTGAAATTCAAAACCCCCACAAACTTCCAAAATGACCATAGGGGGCAGTGCCACCCTACTGAGAACCACCATCCAAGACCTGTTCTGTCCAATATGGTCAACAATAGTCATCTGTAGCTTGTCATATATTAAATGAAATTAAAAGTCCAGTTTCTCAGCATACTAGCCACATCTCAAATGCTTAAAAACCACACGTAGCAAAAACTACCCGCAGAGAAAAGCCCAGGTCCAGATGGTTCCACTGGTTAATAATTCTGCAACTACTTAAAGAATTAACACCAGTTCTTCACAAACTCTTTCAAAAAATAGAAGAGGGACTACTTCCCAACTCATTCTATGAGGTCAGCATTACCCTGATACCAAAACCAGACAAAAAGTGACCCGAGAAAACTTCAGACCAGTATCTCTTATGAATAGAGACACAAAGATCCTCAACAAAATACTAGAAAATTTAATACACAAACCATGACCAAGTGAGATTTATTAGGAATGCAAAGTTGGGCTAGCATATGAAAATGAATTAATGTAAGGCACCATGTCAATAAAATAAAAGACAAAAACCACACGATCATCTCAATAGATGCAAAAAAAAAAAAAAGGATTTGACAACATGCAAAACATCTTCATGATAAAAACACATTACAAACTAGGAACAGAAGGGAACTTCCTCAATATGGTATATAGGACATCTACAAAAAATCCACAGCTAACATCATACTTAATGATGAAAGATTGAAAGCCTTTCCCCTAAAATCAGGAACAAAACAAGGAAGTCTACTCTCACAACTTCTATTCAGTGTTGTACTAGAGGTTCTAGCTAAGGCAATTCAGCAAAAAAGTCAAATAAAAGACATCTAGATTAGATAGGTTTGCAGAGGACAGAACTTGTATATAGAAAATCCTATGGAATTTACCACAAACCTATTGGAAATAATAATGAGTTTGGCAAGGTTGGAGGGTAATAGGTCAATAGACAAAAAGCAATTGGCATTTTTATACATTTATAAAGGCCAATCCAAAAAGGAAATTAAGAAAACAATTCCACTGGGGTGCCTGGGCTGCTCAGTCAGTTAAGTGTCCGACTCTTGATTTTGGCTCAGATCATGATCTCAGATCGAGACCCCACATCGGGCTCCATGTTGGACATGGAGTCAGCTTAAGGTTCTCCTTCTCTTTCTCCCTCTGCCCCTACCCCCCTCTAAAAAACAAAACAATTTCACTTACAAAAGCACCAAAAAGAATAAAATGATTAGAAATAAATTTAACAAAAGAAGTACAAAATGTATACTCTGAAACTAGAAAGCATTCTTGGAAGAAAATAAAGATCTAAATAAGAGGAAAGGCATCCCATGTTCATGGATCAAAAGAGTTAATGTTAAGTTGGCAGTACTTCCAAAACTGATCTACAGGTTCAATGCAATCCCTATCAAAATTGCAACTGGCTTCTTTGTAGAAATTGACAAGTTCATCCTAAAATTCATAAAACATCCTGGAAAAAGAACAAAGTTGGAAGGTTCACACTTCCCAATTTCAAAAACTCAGTACAAAACCACAGAAATCAAGATGGTGTTGTACTAGCATAAGAATAAACATGTAGATCAATGGAACTGAACTGAGAGTCCAGAAATAAATCCCCACATTTGCAGTCAACTGATTTTCAACAACTGATTTTCTCCTTTTTTTTTTTTCAACAACTGATTTTCTAAAACATATCTATAGGGAGTCTTTTCAACAAATGGTGCAGGGACAACTGGATATCTACATGCAAAGGAATGACGTTGGGCCCAGTGTTGGGGGGTCCCCAAGTTGTTTTTTTTTTTTTTTAGTTGTAAGAGTTCTTTACGTATCCTAGATACAAGTCCCTATAAAGAATGTCTTAAAAAGGGAAAGCATAATTCAGTGGTTCTCCAAGTGTGGTCCCAAGAATAGCAGCAGCAGTATCATCTGGGTGTATGATAGGAAAGCATATTCTTGGTCCCCACCCCACACTTCCTCAATCACAGCCCTGGCGGTGGGCCCAGAAATCTGTATTTTCACCAGCCCTCTGGGGCACACTCAAGTTTGAGAACCATTGGCATAATGCTGTATAAAAATAAAGGCAGGGACGCCTGGGTGGCTCAGTCGGTTAAGCGTCTGCCTTCGGCTTGGGTCATGATCGCAGGGTCTTAGGATCGAGTCCCACAGCGGGCTGCTTGCTTGGCAGAGAGCCTGCTTCTCCCTCCACCTGCTCTGCCTGCCACTCCCCCTGCTTGTGCTCTCTCTCTCCGACAAAAAAATAAATAAAATCTTTAAAAATAAATAAATAAAAATAAAAATAAAGGCAGGATTCCAGCCACAGCATGGACAAAGCTAACATCTACTGATTGCTGACCATGCCTTCCCAAGAGCTCATGTAGTTTCCACAACCACCTTATGACGTGTTGGTACTACGGTTACCCACATTTGACCGACCAGTAAACTGAGGTGCAGAAAGGTGAAGATAATTGCCTGAGATCATGAATTCACGAATGGCAGAGCTGGGACCTGAAGGCCAGGTTTCTCGGCCTGCACAGCCCACGCTATTAACCACCATGTCAGCATTTCCCTGAGCGTGGGCCACAAACATCACTGGTAGTGATGGGATAGTCTCAGAGCATACATGGATGTTCACTTTGAACTCCAAAGGGTATGTACTGATCTTTCCCTGACTTATGACAGGGTTATGTCCTGATAAACCCATCATAAGTTGAAACTATCTTAAGTCGAAAATGCATGTAGTACACCTAACCTACCGAACACCATTGCTTAGCCTAGCTTCCCTTAAATGTGCTCAGAACACTTACATCCGCCTGCAGTTGGGCAAAGTCAGCAAACACAGTCTATTTTACAATAGAGTGTGGAGTATCTCATGTAATTGATTCAATATTGTACTGGTCGTAGGGCTGCAGAAGGGTTGTGTGTCCGTTGTTGACCCTGGTGGTCGCGGGGCTGACTGGGAGCTGTGGTCGGCTGCCACTACCCAGCATCACAAGCGAGGATAGCACATATCGCCAGCCCGGGAAAAGATCAAAATTCAAAATTTGAAACACAGCTTCTACTGAATGGCAATCACTTTCACACCACTGTAATGTTGAAGATCGTAAGTCAAACTCATTGTAAGTCAGGAACTGTCTGCATTTATTTTTATGGGTTGTAGAAAAAAAATACATAACTAGTATTTCTTTTTTTTTTTAAGATTTTATTTATTTATTTGACAGAGAGAGAGACACAGCGAGAGCAGGAACACAAGCAGGGGGAGTGGCAGAGGGAGAAGCAGGCTCCCCACCAAGCAGGGAGCCCAATGCGGGGCTCGATCCCAGGACCCTGGGATCATGACCTGAGCCGAAGGCAGGCGCCTAACCATCTGAGCCACCCAGGCACCCCCGTAACTAGCATTTCAAACCCATGATTTCAATAGTAGCATTAAGTGTCCTTTAAAAAATTTATATTAAAAGTCATTTAATGAAAATATTAAGTGAGGGACGCCTGGGTGGCTCAGTCGTTAAGCGTCTGCCTTCGGCTCAGGTCATGATCCCGGGGTCCTGGAATGGAGTCCCACATAGGGCTCCTTGCTCAGTGAGGAGCCTGCTTCTCCCTCTCCCTCTACTGCTCCCCCTGCTTGTGCTCTCTCTCTCTCTCTGACAAATAAATAAATAAAAATCTTTAAAAATAATAATAATAATAATAAAGACAATATTAAGTGAATAAAAGTACTTTCATGCACAGACATGGCAAACGTGGGAGTATGGGAAACACTGCTAAACCAGCATTAGTTACTTTAAGTATAATGACTTGTGCATTTTACTGTATAAAAATTGTACCAAAAAAAAAAGGACTGTACAAAAATACCAGATTCTAGTTAATGCACATGTTAAAGTGTTTAGAGGGAAGTGTATTAGGGGTGCCTGGCTGGCTCAGTTGGTGGAGCATGAGACTCTTGATTGCGGGGTTGTAGGTTCGAACCCAATGTTGGATGTAGAGATTACGTAAAAATAAAATCTTGGGGCACCTGGGTGGCTTAGTCGTTAAGCATCTGCCTTCGGCTCTGGTCAGGATCCCAGGGTCCTGGGATCGAGCCCCGCATCGGGCTCCCTGCTCAGTGGGGAGTTTGCTTCTCCCTCTCTGCTCCCTCTGCTTGTGCTCTCTCTGTCAAATAAATAAACAAAATCTTTTAAAAAATAAAATAAAATCTTTTTTAAAAAAAGAGGGAAGTGTATTAAAGTCAGCCTCCTCCTACTTTGAAATACGAAAATCAGAGAGACTCATTTGGATGGAGTGTTACATATGTGATAAAGTAACTGTAGCAAAATGTTCACCACAGAACCCAGGTAGTTGCATACATGAGCACTCATTGTAGGAATTCTTTGAACCTCTCTGTACGTGTGCAAACTTAAGTGTTGGGGTAAAATATATGTAGATTGCGTCATACAGTGAATGAATGAATGCATGAATGAATGAATGAGTAAAGCCTTAAAGACTAGGTAGAAACCTGCTGAAATACCTTCTTTATACTCCTCTGCTTATATTCTAAAGTGGGTTTGTATTGCTCGTATAACAAGAGAACATTTTTTTCAAGCAGAAAAATGGCACAGGAGTCCATTGATAAAACTGACAAAATAGGCATTTATTCTGAGGACGTAACGTCATGAAGAAACTCCCCAAGGCCAGCCTGGGAGTGGGCGAAAACTGCTGGCTTGCTCAAAGGGGAACAGGACCTCAGCACTTCTCTGCACCCCTGCCGCTCAGGGAAGCCTGGGCCAGAGCTCGCTCAGGCTGCGGGCCTGCAGTCTGACTTGCCTGCCTGTCAGTGCAGGCCAGGATTAGTGTGTCCCATGTCCCAAGAAGCCAGAGCATCAAGACAGGTGACAAAGGAAGTCGTGCAGAGGCAGGGCCAGGAGCCCTGACAGGGAAATTCCCAAAGTGTCGGAGATACAGGCGGCTGCCATGGCAAATTCCCGGTGCTCATCACTTGTCTGCAGAGGGCAGGAAGCAGGGGTGAGGCTTCAGTCCTAGCCGCCCCAGCCCAGGCCTTCCCCAGAGAGGCCCTCCACGCCCTCGCCCAGCTGGTGCTGACCTCCAGGGCGATGTTGTGGAAGGTGTTCACGTAGGCAGCACCTCCGAGGAGCCCCTCATACAGAATGATCAGGAAGATGAGGTAGATGCTGGGAAGGAAGCTCAACCACACGTCCACCAGCAGGAAGGCCAGGTTGAAGCACTGGGAATGCAGGTGGAGGGGAAGGCTGAGCCAGGGACCAGAGGCTGCGATCCCATCCAGTGGGCCCTGGTTCTGGGAGACGCTGGGAGAGGGCTGTCAGGCCCGGATCAAATCCCAGCACCCAGCTGGCCTGCCGGACCCTGGGATCTGGGGTAGGCCTTCGCCCTATCCTGTCCCAGCACCCTAGACGTTGTAAGTCTCTCTCCCAACCTCGCCTTGGCTCACGTCGCTCCTGGAACGCTATTCCCCTTTCCTCACTTGGGATCTCCTGGTCACCACTGTTTGCAGGTCAGCCTGTATCAGGACCCCTCTCCTGGGCTCTCATGCCTCCTCCCACGGGCTCCCTGAAGAGAGAGGACCACCCCTCTCCCACCATTTTACCAGACTGAGACTATGGGTGTTGATGAGCAGTTCTCAACTGGGTGTGACTTTTGCCACCCAGGGTGACCACCTGGCAATGTCTACAGATGTTCTTGGCTGTAGCAAGTGGGGAGGGAGTGGGTAGAGGCCATGGATGCTGCTCAATTCTGTGGTGCACGGGACGGCCCCACAACAAAGAACGATCCAACCCCAAATGTCAACAGTGTCGAGGTGGAGAAACTCTGGCTAGGGCATTCTCATGTCTTTAAGGAAGACTCTCTAACCCCACCCATGGGAGTAGGTCCCTCCTCTGTGCCCCAGTCCTTCAGAGGACCCCAGTGTCTCAGGCCTGAGCGCACAGGGTTGCCTCCCCAGTGTGGAGGCCGCCATGGCGGTTCGCATGCTTTGATGCACATACAGATCACCTGGGCGTCTCGTGACCCACATAGGCCTTGCCCTCGAAGGTTCTAATTCGTTAAGTGTGAGGTGAGCTCAGAGATCTGCACTTAAGAAAACACATCCCAGCGACGCTAACGTGACTGACAACACCCTGCCGAGGCTTCTGTCTGTAGCATGAGGCCCGATGCTTTCTGTAACGGAATTCTTTCTGCAACGATTATAAGCTGCTAATTCTACGGAGCAGCCTTGGTTAAAATTACAGCGAAAATCCCAAGCTCCCCATTTCGGTGGCTTCTAACAAAGAACCCTGAGTTCAGAATTGTTGGCACAAGGATTCAGGGCTTTCGGGGCACAAGGCCGTGGGCTGGCAGCACTGCTCAGATAAAGGGAGAAAGCTGGAGGACATTCACAGGGCACTGTCATAACACTCAAGTGCAACCTATACTTGCTCTATATCTTGTTATCCTAGAAATGGAATCAGTTTATTAAAAAGGACTTTCCTGGACTAATGAAAGGTTTATTTTATTTTATTTTTTTAAAGCAGGGAGGCTGACGAGGGCCTCGATCCCAGGACCTTGAGATCATGACCTGAGCCGAAGGCAGACACTTAACGACTGAGCCACCCAGGCGCCTCTGGAAGGTTTATTTTGATAATTACCTTCAGGGGCTATAGACTCGTGACCTTGAAACAATGAAGGCTGGTTATGTGAAGCTACTTTGGTTAGACCGCGGGCGAGAATGGTGTGTTTGTTCACTTAACGTTGGAATACTTGTGCCGCGGCAAGTTACATTTGCTCACCTGCCTTGCAGTAAATAACCTGTTGGCTACAACATAGCTGATTTTATTGTAAGGAACCATCCAGAATAAAAGAACAGTACTTTTTTTTTTTTTTAACCCATGGAAACATTATTTGAAAGCCTGTGTCTCTGCACAAGGCTTGTGGAAATAATCATTAAGTAAGTGCTTCTCGTGGATTAAAACACTTCTTCTCATCTCTATTTGGTACAATGACTCTGAGAAGTAGATATTGGCCACGCCTGATTCAGAGATGAGGCAGTCTCGGCTCAGGCTGGTTCGGGGACCTGACCTAAGTCACACAGCTACAGAGAACAGAAGCTGGGATTTGCACCCAGGTTTGCCAGGCTCCCGAGGCCACACATTTTACACAGAGCCGGAGCCCTGCTGGCCTCCTGTTCCCTGGGCTCAGACCTGATGGCGAGCAACAAACACTTCCTGCAGAGGGAAGGAAGCCTGGGGTCTGGGAAGCTGGGAGCCAAGGTGGGAACAGAGGGAGGGCCGGACTCGGTACCTGCAGCAGGGCCAGGACCCACGTGAAACGGATGCGACAGCAGCGGAGAGAAGAGCGGGAAACAAAGACGCCAGCCTGGTAGAGCATCTGGTACCTTCGATGGGGGCAGGAAGGGTGGAAGAAGCCCCTGTGGGTGGCCACTCAGCAGGGTGGCCCCGGCTGCCCCCAGGCCCTGGCATCAAGGGGCCCTCCCAGCCCCCTGCCCGTCCTGCTACCCAGCCTCTCTCCCTTCTTACCAGCGATACTGCTGAGCGTGACTCAGGGACGTGTTCCGGAAGAACAGAAGCTCAAACTGCAGCCAAGGGCAGACAGGGCAGATGGTCAGAGAACTTCGAGGCCCCCGCCTCGACCACTTCTTCCTCCCCCCTCCAGCAGCCCTCACTCACAAGCCCCTGATTGATGAAATACTCCGCAAAGTAAACCAGGACCAAGGGGACGATGTACCGCAGCAGGCCCTGGAAGAGTCCAAAGACATTAAGTGGAAGGCCGGCAGGTGGGCACTGGCCACGGAGGCGCCCACCACAGCCACCATCCATACCTTGAACACAGTCCACCTTTCCTGAAGGGAGAGGCTTGAGCTGGAGTCTGCAGGGGAGCAGGGAGGGAAGGGCAGGTGAGGTTGGCACACCCACTCAGCAGAGGGGTGCTGGTGGGCAAGGACCAACCACATTCACACTCTGTGTGAATGCACTTAAATGCCACGGGATTGTACAACTAAAAATGGTTAAGGGGCGTCTGGGTGGCTCAGTCGGGTGAGCGTCCGACTCTTGACTTCAGCTCATGTCATGCTCTCGGGGTTGTGAGATTGAGCCCTGTGTCGGGCTCTGCGCTTAAGATTTTCTCTCTCCAGGAGCCTGGGTGGCTCAGTTGTTAAGTGTCTGCCTTTGGCTCAGGTCATGATCCTGGAGTCCTGGGATCGGGTCCCGCATCGGGCTCCCTGCTCAGCGGAAAGCCTGCTTCTCCTCTCCCTCTCCCACTCCCCCTGCTTGTGTTCCCTCTCTCGCTGTGTCTCTCTCCGTCAAATAAATAGAATCTTTAAAAAAAAAAAAAGATTTTCTCTCTCCCTCTGCCTCTTTAAAAAAATGGTTAAACTGGTAAACTTCATGTTAGGTATATTTTACCACAATTAAAAATAAAAAGGAATTAACTGGTGGGATCTCTCCATGGCTCTTATGCAGTTTGATAGCTACACATCTCCAACCCAGCCACACTGGCCCCTTCCTTCTGCTTCTTGAACATCCAAGCTCCTTCCCATCGCTGGCTCTTAGCACTTGCTGTCCACTCGGCCTGCAACCTGACTCCCTGTCACTCAAAGTTCAGCCCAACGACCCCTCCCCAAAAAGGCCTTCATAGACCACCTCCTCTAGGTGGGACCCTTCTCTATTCCCCCCAGTTCCTAGCAGCAATCCCCGCTTTATGTCCGGCCAGCACTTACCAAGGCTCGAAAATAACATATTTCTGATTCAGCTACTTGTTTATGAATCTGTCCCCTTTCTTCATCTCGGCCACCCAGTACCCACAGTGATCATCAGCACATGGTAAATATTCACTGAGCATTTTTTTTCTTTTTTTAAGATTTATTTATTTGAGAGAGAAAGAGGGAGAACGTGGATGGGGGAGGGGCCGAGGGAGAGGGAGACAGAGAATCTCAAGCAGACTCTACACTTAGCGTGGAGCCCAATGCGGGGCTCGATCCCACAACCCTGAGATGGTGACCTGAGACGCAATCAAGAGCCAGACGCTTAACTGACTGAGCCACCCAGGCGCCCCAGTGAGTAGTTCTTGAATAGATGAATGCCGTTGGTTCTTACCATAACCAGCACTGCCATCCACCTCCCCTCCGGACTGTGTTCACCATAGAGAGGAAAGGCTAACACCCGTCCAGAGAGAGAGGGATGGCTCCGAGGGACTCCTGGGTCTCCTACCTGGCTTCAACTCTGCGGCCTCACTGCCAATCAGGGGCTGTCGCGCTGATGTCTCTGCCTCTTCCTCCCCTCCAGGGTCCTGGGGCTCGGGAGATGTGAGCAAAAAGAAATAGCTAGGAACAGGTGGGATGAAGATGAGACCGAAGAGCCTCTGTCGGGCTGGAGAGGCCACTCCCTCCCAGCCCCCCATCATTTCCGCACTCCTCGCAGGCCCCCCCGATCCTGTGCCGGAGAGCTCTAACTGAGGAAAGGTGCTTCCTTCCTTAGAGTTGAAATTTGTCTCCTTGTTGTTTCTACCCACGGGCTCTTGTTTGGATTTCTGGCTCACACCAAGCAAGTCAGCTCTGTTTTCTTGTCATTGTTACTCTTCTTTTTTAAAGATTTTATTTATTTATTTGACAGAGAGAGACACACAGTGAGAGAGGGAACACAAGCAGGGGGAGTGGGAGAGGGAGAAGCAGGCTTCCCGCCGAGCAGGGAGCCCGATGCGGGACTCGATCCCAGGACCCTGGGATCATGACCTGAGCCGAAGGCAGACGCTTAACTGACTGAGCCACCCAGGCGCCCCTTGTCATTGTTATTCTAATGATTATCACGTGTTCATCCTATGCGGGGCTAGAACTTTCAGTCTCTTCTATAGAGACCAGGTCTATACTCAGGTATGTCTACACTCCTCCTATATAAATTGTTTGCTTATTATTTTCCTTTAAATCGATTCACTTTTTCTAAAGGGCCTTGCCCTAAGCAATAATCTGTGAAATCACAGGTTTGATTGGCTAGTTAACATTTTTTCCCAATACCCTCAAAATTAATCAAAGAAAGGCCACCCCTGTCCCCTTCAATCATCTCGGGATCCACACTGTACCAGATGCTTCACACACATCATTTCAAGGTGTCCCACAGTACACAGCCAACAGGTAGCAGCTCCAAAACTCAAACCAGGCCTCTCCGAGTCCAGAACCCACATCCCCTCTTTATGAGGCTGCTGGGATCTGAAGATCGGGAGCATGGTCTAGTTCTCTCCTTGAATCCCTCATCCTCCCAACCCCGTCAGCCTACCTGGCCAGCAGCAGGGCAGGGATACCCAGCATGGACAGCAGGGTGTGCTGCGGGGAGAGGCCAGCCTGGGTGAGGCCCAGGTAGGACAATGCTCCCAGCAGCCCTGCTCCCCCAGTTCCTGAGGACCACCAGGAGATCACAGCCCTGAGAAGAACACAAGAAATGAGGAAGGACCAAAGCCAGCACCAGGGGGTCCTCTCTCCCGCTCCCGGCTCTGCCTGCTTACCTGGGGTAGAAGGCAGTGAGCGAGAGGAAGGTGACCTCCCCCAGACCTGACGAGATGCTAGCCAAGACCACACCTGGGGGGAGGACAAGCATGGCAGTGGCCACACCTGGCCTCCCTATAGCCCCGATCCCCTGAGGTGTCTGGCCATGGCCTCCTCTGCATCAACTCAGAGCAGCGAAAAACAGATCCCCTGGGCAGGGGGGCTTCAGATCTGAAGGAGAACCAACCCGCTGCCCTGCATGCCCTCTCATAGGGAACGGGACCTCCATCTATCCAGTTATCAACTCTGGAGCAAGAACTCATCCTTGACGCCTCAGCTGCCCCCGTCACGGCGTCTTGGTGACTCTGCTCATCTCGAGCTCCATACACTCCATCCATTTCCTCCTATCTCTGCCCCCCACCCCCGACCCCAACCACCACCCATCCTCCAAAATGACCTCACCTCCCATCTCCTACTTGTGACAGTCCCAGCAGGCTCCTGAGGCTTACAAAAAACAATCCCTTTCCTCTCAGAAGTTGGGGAGACTACCCCACAATGCTCTGTTTTGGTTCCTCTGGGTTCCCCAGCTGACAAAACCTCACACTCACCACATAGGCTGGTCCCCACTGAACGAGAAAAGGCAACCAGGATGAAGCTCCCAGCGGCACAAATCCCACTGACGAGAACCCGGGGGCTGAGGGCAAGGGGTTGGGAGGGAAGAGGAAGGTCAGCCTCCGCCCGCAACTCCCCAACCCTCCCACCACTTCCGTAGCCCTCCCAGCCTCCCTGCTCTTCAGGCCCCACCTGACCTTCCTCCCGCCACCCCCACTCAGACCTGTAGGGTAGCAGATGCAGACCAAGAGGAGCCAGCAATTTGATGACGAGGGTGGGGAGGATATCTGCCAGGAGCACGGCCTGGAACAGAACAGAGTGAGACCCCAGACGGTCCCAGGGACAAGCCTCCCAACCAAGTGGTCGAGGGAAGACAGACACCAGCCAGGTCGACCTGCTAGAGACATAGGCTCTGAAGTCAGACAGATCTGGGCTCAAATCCCAGCTCTGCTGCTCCTTAGCTTTGTGTCCAGAGCTTCAGATCCCTCATCTGGAAAATGGGGGGTGGTTACAGCGCTTAGCTCGTAGGACTGACATGAGCCAATGCAGGCTACACACAGAAAAGGCTCGGGAAATGGTCTTAATTATTATAATCACGATGGTCGCAGCTGGGTGCTGAGGGATGGGGCGGGGGTCAGGGGGGACCAGATGGGTACTCACAGCTGTGGAGACAGAATTGCAGTCAAATCGAGACGAGCTGTTGTGGGGGGTGGGCGGTGGGTCTGGGTCCACCTGATGACAGAGGAAAGTCTTTCACCCAGGGAGGCAAGAGGAGACACAACCTGGCTCCAGTCCCAGCTCAGCCCTAACTTGAGGGATGGCCTTGGGTCAACACTAGCCTCTTGGGACCTCAGTTTCTCTACGTGCACAATGGGGAGGGTGAGGTTACCGTAGAAAGCTCACACTAAGGACCCAAAGGCCAAAGATGGCCCCGTAAATGGGCTCTACTTGGGTGACACATTCAGGAGATTTCATTTTTAAAAATTTGGGCTTCTAAATTTTTACTTTCTGTCTAGAACAATGTACAGGTAGGAGAGTGAGTTGTAATGCTCCCCAAAGTGCCTTATTTTCTCTGATATAAATATTTTATAAGGACCTCTTCCAGTGGATACTTGGGTGTGGTTGCCACATCGATTTTAGGGAGTGGGTGTATATGCAGTAGAGCTACAGTCTGGAAATGGGTCTCTCTCCCCTGAGAATGGGAAAGGAGATTCAGTTAGAGATCTGGGAGGGTGGGGTTAAACCAAACCCCCGATGTGACCCTTTCTTCTTCCCCCTACTCCTCTTAGGCCCCTAGGAGGACATCCAATTTTTAAAGCCCTGTGGCTCCAAGCCTGGTCTCATCTGTTTCCCTGCCAGGCTCATGTGTGGACCACCCGCGCAACCCCTGACCTGAGGATTCCAACTGTTTTATGTAGACATGCGAATATGTAAATGCCAACATTTTAAATAATTTGATAAAGTCTTTGTAGCTACTCATCCAAGAAAAAAAAATGGTCTCCAGAAAAGCTGACCTTGGACCAAATTCCCTGTTGGACTTGCAAGGTGGTGGCTGCGCTCCTTCGGCATGTACTCCCCCTGCCCCCAGCTCATCACAGACAAGAGGGTCTCAACTGGAGGTGATTATACCCCCCAGGGAACATTTGGCAATGTCTGGAGACATTCTTGTCTCAACTACAGAACAGGGGGTATGCTGCTGGTAGAGAACAGGGGTGCTGCTAAGCACCGTACAATGCACAGGAAAGCCTCACAACAAAGAATTCTCCAGCTTAAAATTAACAGCACTGGGGTTAAGAAACGCTGTCATAGGCCATGGCCCCACCCAGCCAACATCTGAGTTTGTACACGTGGCACCAATTGATTCTTAAAAACCCTCCCTGCTCTGCGGTCTGGGAGACTGGGAACTTTAGTCCCCTTGGCCCACCCCTTGGCCACCCCATACCATGAGTTTTTCAAAGGGGTCCCTGCTCTAGGGTGAGTCCTTCATCTTCCCATAAGGACTAAACATGGTGATGGAGGTAGAGAGGGTCACTTACATGGCTCTGGTTCCCAGATGCCCTCTGGTGGCTAAGGATGTCATGGGCAGCACTGAGCATCACCACATAAGAGAAGTTGTTGCAAAGGCCCAGGAGCCTGAAGTGAGCAGGATAGACTTTTTTTCCCCTTCCGTTTTATTGAGATATAACTGACATATAAGAACAGATCTTAACCTCCTTCCAGGCTTACAATCTACTCACAGTCGTAGCACCAAATCTCCCCTTCCTATGGCCTTCAATCAGCTCCCTGTTCTTCTCTCTCACCAGACCCCATCTCCATTTCAATGTTAGGACTAGAAATACAGGCTTTGGGACGACAGACTTGGGCTCACATCTCGTCTCCCCCAGGAAGAGAAGAAAGTCATCCTTGACGACTCTCTCCTCCAAGCTCCCACCATGGTTCAGTTCCTGGGACATTTCTCATCCACTGATCCACTGTCTCTGAAGTGCTGCGGAACAGTAGAAAGCTCCCGGGGCTTGAAGCCCAAAGGACTGTGTTCAGGTTCCAAGCCTGCTGCCTCCTATCTGAGTGGCCTCGGGCGACGTAATGTGTAAATGGGGACACAGGTTTTCCTTCTCACTACCTCACAGGGTCTGTGGGGATTAAAAGAAGATCCTACCAAAGCCCTTTATGACCCATGAAGGATTCTTTTTTGCTTACTCTCATTTCCCAGAGCTGCACTCAGTGATAGGAAAGGAACTGGGCCCCGTGCCAGAGATTTCATGTGCTCTTTTCACAAGCCTACAAAGTGGTCCCACCATTCTTCCCATTTTGCTGCAGTCAACCAGAGAGGCTCAGAGAGGCGACAGAACTCTTCCAGAGTCACATGGGAAGTCACTTCCAACCCAGTGTGCCACCTAAGCCCTCAATGTTCAGATCAGCGTTAGAAGGATTTCCCAAGGCTCAATACTGGAATGATTTCAGGAGGTAGATGGATGGCCTTTCAAAAAGTGGGGATGTGTTTATTAAAACGTGCATTAGGAAAAACACTGGCTTCCCATCTAGAGTAATGATTTAAAGTTTTCTTCTAAAAAAAAAAAACAACAACAACACGTATTTACAAATTTGATGGTAGGATCTTGCCCAAACGTGAAGGTGGGAAGTAAATGAGTGAAGTCTTGGAGGTTTACACACTGCCTCAGGGCAAACCAACTGGTTCAGTAAATATTTGTGAATTCAGCTCCCTTTTCTCAGTTCAACTCTTTCTTCCCTTTTTCCTCCTGTTGCTTCCCAACTCTTCCCACCCCATTTTTTACTTCTGCTGAACTCTTCGGGCCACTCACCAGAAACCCATCATGTTCCTCCAAAGGGCGCCCCGACGGTCCAGCAGAGGGGGCAGAGGTTCCGGGGTGGTCTCCTCCCCTGAGAAGGCGAGAAGAGAGCATGACTCCCACCCCACTCGCAGGTGCATGAGGGCCCCACGGGTGTCCTCCCGGGGCCGAGCCAGAGCCCGAGCCCCGAATCAGGTGGGTCGCGGGGCCGGGGCTGTCACTCTCAGGAGGGTGGGCGGGACTACGCACCCTCGGAATCCAAAAGGCGCCGCCGCGAGCCCGCACAGCCTCCCATGGCATCCAGTTCAGGTCCCGCGAAGGATTCAAAGTGAGCGACCGTCCAGAATTGGCTCCGACCGGGCGGGTGAAGGTCTGCGACAGATGAGAAGGATCAACTCCCCACTGCAGGTCCCAGCTCCGGCTTCTCCGCTGCACACGCGCGGGGCGACCCACCACGTTACCCCGGAGCTCCATCTCGCGCCCTCGCACCCCCCACCACGCCCCACCCGTGGGACTCTGCCCCAGCCCCCTTTAAAGCAGGGGGCTCCGCGGTCTGTACCTTTAAGAGCAGCAGCAAGTCAGGCCCCGAGGTACCGCAGGTTGGCGGGTCACGTGACAGCACCAGCGGCGCCCTCATCACGTGCTTGGAGGTCACCACAACTTCCGGGTCCTCTCTCTGTCTTGGCTTCAGGCTTTCCCAGCCTCGGGGTGGGGGACAGAGAGAGGCCGGAAGAACCCTGGAACCGCTGGTTTAAAACTGGAGCGGGCAGGATCGGCAAGAAGAGCCGTGACGTTAAACTAGCGGCGCTCAAGGTGTTGGCCCTATCGTGCCAGCCCTAGGCATGGCAGTGAGCGGCTCCAGCTCCTTTCGCGGCCCTCAAATGCCAGAAATAAATATGGCCACCTGGCTATGCTAGTCCCCGTTTCTGGCTGGGAACAAAGACAGCCAGCTTCAGGGCATTCTTATTCCTCTCTGTTGCCCTTAGATTGCTTTGAGAACTGAAAATCAAGATAACTTTCACTTAAGAGGATTTCTGTCTATTGGCAATATCCAAAGCATTAAAGAGATCACTTTCCCCTAATTATCCCAGAACCAAAGAACAGCACAGAAATAGTCCAACCCCTGGTTTTACAGATAAGAAAACAAAAAAAAGGAAAGTTGCTGGTGATGATACAAGGTTAGCCCTAAAGCTGACCTTAGAGACCCTTTTAACAATAGGGAATAGAGCACCAGAGGCAGGTGTGCTTGGCTCAGCAGGCTGCGGCAGAATTCCTGCCTGCATCAAGAATGCTTAGACCAGATGATTCTAAGGTCCAAGATTCTCATTCTGTGATCTCATCTAGTTCCTCTAATTGGAAATTTGGAAAGTGGGGATCAGGGAGGGGATTGCAGGAAAAGGTGTAGATCAAAGTCATTTCACATAGTCCAAAATAAGAAGTGATTATTCTCTTACCTTCCTCTAGGTGGTAAAGCAGCATCCTGAATTTTCTTCAGTGAGTCCTTCCCCCGCTAATCTGTTCTATGGGCTTCCACCAGCTGGTGCCCACCTCTACCAGTTCTTTCTCACCACCACGTCCTCAGATTGCTGTTTGAAATGTGCCTCCTTTGGTCTGCTTCCCAGGTTACTCAACCAGTAAAAAATGGTGTCCTACTACCCATGTGGGACAAACTGAGCAACATGTCATACATGGCCTGTGCCTTCAAGGAACTCACAGGAGGGTGGGAGGTAGACACAAATAACCACAATACAAAGCTTAGCCAAGTTTTGTTTCGCAAGAGTGACTACGGATGAGGGAATGGGCACTGGAGCCACCAATCCAGCCCCTTCTTCCCCTCGAGGAAGCATTAATGACCCTGAAATGAGAAGCCAAAGCTCTTACCAGCCCCTCTTCTCTCCTACTCCTTGTCCCTAGGCAAAACAGGAACCACAAACCCCAGCTTCCTCTCACAGAGTGGCTGTGGCTTAGGGGGAGCCGGAAATGGCTGAGGTGTGAATACAAGACCTGAGTCACTTGAGCTGCAGTTGCCACACGCCCCATCCCCCGTCCCCAATTCTGAGGTCTCCTGCTCCCATGTTTTTCCTTATGGCTTCCCCCCTTGCCCTTCAGCTCCAAATATGCACCTGAGTCCCCTGTGTGATGCACACCCATTTCCCAGCCAGGGCTGGAAGCTGCTCTGTGCATTGCAGAGGGTGGGCAGGGCCTGAACAGGGGATGCGTCAGGGAGACACAGGGGAAGAGGAAGTGTCTTGGGCCCGGGGAAGACGGGCTTGTCTCGGTGGGTGGGGACGGTCATTTGTCAGCTTTCTGGACACACAGACAGAGACAGACAAGATGGATTTCCTCCGGCTACATCTCCCTGGGCTGCATCAGGCCTTGCGGGGAGCACTGGTGAGAGGGGCAAAGAGATGCCAGAGCCTTTCACCCTGCTCCCTGGGGCCTCACCTTCCCTCCTCCCTTTGAGACTCTCCTCAGACTTGACATCCCTTTCCCAGGACCAGGTAGCCTCCTAGCCTGATCGTTTCTGGATTTCAATCCCCATACCTCCATAGACACATCCATCTACCCCTAATCTAGCCCTTTCTTCTTCCTTCTGCAAATCCAATTCTCTTTCCCCTCCCAGATCCCAGAACCCCTCTTCTGTGGCCCGAGTTCCTCTGGGTCAGGGTCCCAAGAAGGAGGACTGGGGGAGAGGGCCTCCCCTTAATGCCTTTTTCCCCTCCCCCTCTCCTGTTCTAGGATTCCCTCAGCTCCTTTGTCTCCTACCTTATGGGAGATGAGGTCCCCACTGCAGAGAGGAAGGAGGCGAGGGCAGCCGAGGAGCTGGGGGAGGTGGCTGCAGGAAGGCCAGGGAAGCATGAAGAGAAGGAAGCCCAGGAGGCCCTGGAGGGCCTTGGAGGCAGCCAAAACCAGGAGGCTGGAGGGCTGAGAGGGCCTGGGGAGGCTGGAAGACGCCAGGACGGAAGTTCAGCAACAGAACAGACCTGGGGTTGGGAAGAAGGCAGCTCCCATGGGTCTCAGGCAGACAGGCAGGACACTGGGGTCTGGGAGGCAGTCAAGGCTGCCAGGTGCCAGGAGCCAAGGGCCCACTTAGAGGCCAGAAAGGAGTCCAAGACAGGGTCTGAGGCTGTTCGAGACAACAGCAGTCAAGCCCGGGAGAGTCAAGGGCCCAATGAGCAGGAAGTGAACACAGAGGAGACACCGAGAACCTGGGAACAGGAGGAGGAGGCGGAAGAGGTCAGGGAAAGAAAACCAGAGGTGGCCAGGAAGGCGGAGTCAGAGTGGACCTGGCACCGGGAGCCTGAGGGGGAGGTAGGTGCTGATGGGCAAAAGGTAGCAGGGGACGGCAGGGGGTCATTAGAGCAAACGGTCAAGGAGGCAGTTGCAGAGGAGATCCAGGGGTCTGGAACCAAAGAGGCCGGGAAGGAAGTAGAGGTGATGGTGGTCCTAAGGGGTAGCCCAAGCACAAGGGCACGGGAAGCATGGGAGTCAGGGACAGAATCTGAGGACGGGACAGCCTCAGGCAGGGAGGAAGCCAGGACAGTCTCAGACAGGGAGGAGGACGGGACAACCTCAGGCAGAGTGGAGGATGGGAGAGCCTCAGACAGTGGGGAGGAC